CCGCAATGAAATGAGTAGGCCTAATGATTCCATTAAATCTCACTTAACGATGCCTCTCAAAAGAATCTCGAATCTCAGCTAGAGTGGACTGTAGTTTCGACCCTGCCAAAGTAGCATAAGCAATTGCAAGATATTCACTACTAAGTTGTGGGTACAGTGGTGGTGCTACCGCTCAACTACACTGTCAGGGATTCCGGTCTGTTACAAATAAAAGGTGACGACCAAGGCAAGACAGACCTCTCCCAACCCACAGTTATATTGGGATGGTCGAAAAAGTAGGCGTATACTTGCCAATGCATTCGACAACGTTACTTATTTCGGAAAAAGTAAGTTCAAGAGTAGCAGTAAATCTCACATGAGAACTAGATTGCGCAATGATTTAAGGGCTGATAATTAAATTTTCCCACAATTAGATTAGTAGGCCTAATGATACAATTGAAATACAAATAGTATTCTAATCCCATTGTGGAAAAAGTCAGCGATCAGTCCTTAATTCACCGTAAGCGACCTAGGATAAATGAGCTCGTGTTCAAGAATCACTGAAGCCCGAAGCCTACTTATAATGAAAATCAGTAGTATTTATAGTTTAAATAGAAAGCACATGTTTGCTTAATTAACAATCCCACAATGAATGTTATTTGGGGGAAGGGGTCTGGCTTGCCTTGAATGTTTTATTTTTACTGTGTCACAATGACACCCGTAGCTGTATAGTGAGGTGGTGGAATCGCCACTATGCTCACAACTCTGTATTGGATCCCGTTAGGCAAGCGGATGAGAACATGGCGGGGCAGAAAATGCAGTCCACCCTGTATGATATAGCCTTTTGAGAAAAACGGCTGAGCGAAATTCAATAGCATCGTGAGGCCTTCTCATATCAGTCTGTGGAAAACGCAACTATCAGTACTTAAGTCACCTTAAGAAATCCAGAGTGGCTAAATGTCTATATTTTTATCATTAACTCTAGCACACCGGTCAAACTCCTCTTAATTGAACCCATAAAGTAAGAAAGGAAGAAACGTAAGCAACTATGCGCCCAAAGCGCTGCAAGCGCCTTTCACTTAATGAGGCAATCTCTCGGTAAAAAGTGTGCTTTATCGATGTGACATGAACTCCATACTGATAGGAACAGCAGCAGGCGCAGCCGGAGCTTGATCGTAGAGAGGATTTGTGAATTGATAGAGGTTGTTTGACCTTGACTCTATACAACGAAAGGAGACTGTGACCACACAAAAGGCCACACCATCCTGGTCTTCATACCTTCGATTAGAGTCATTGACTTATTCGTTTCAGAGCGCATAGATTAATTCCTTATTACCTTGGTTTTGACCCGATTAAGCCCGAATGTATTTATAATGAGACGAATGCACAACATACTGAGCCTTTTGCTTTGTGCATTGAGTAATAATATAAGGAGCATTAAGTCGATCAAGTCGTCTACTAAAATCCCAATAATCTGAAGATAAAAATTAAATTAAGATAGCAGCAAGACTCTAAGAATTGGGAAAGGAAATAAGGAATCCGGGAGGCCTGAAAGAAAATTAGAAGATATTTTATTTACCTGGTATATATTCCATAACCAGATAAAGGGCTCGGGCATCCTGGAAGGAGAAGAAAAGCTTAACTACCCACTCGTTGTCTGCTTCTGCCAGAATATCGCGTTCTGCCTGCACATGTGCAAGCTGACGCCGCTCAACCACATCGCGTTTGTTCAATAACTTCATCGCATAAAGCTGGCCATTATCCGTTTTGCGCACCAACCAGACGCGGCCGAATGCTCCAACACCTTGAAAGAATAGTTGATAAGTATAAAGTTGAGTGAATATGGACTGATGTTCGAAGGTTTAGTTCACAGTGTATATATAAATAAAAGATATTTGTATAACGAAAATTGGGAGGATTGGTGTAAATAAGAGCAAGTTAATTCAAGGTACCAGAAACAAATTGGATAACGCCATGTAAACTAGTAAGTGTGTTCTAAATTTGTAATGTCCACCTGAATGGAGAAATAAAAAGGATGCTATAAGGTAAGCAAGTCGGCCTCCTCTAAAAAGTGCAGAATTAAATAAATGTTTTAAAGAGTGTAAGTTAGGATCCAGATTGTTGCCAGGCACAACCAAATTAATTAGTTTTATATGCTAATAAAAATGGGTTTCTAGGAGTCTCTTATTTCATAATTGTTGAGCTTAT